ATGTACATATGTGCTTGACACAATGGATGGATGGATGGATTGTGATAAGAATTGTATGAGCCCCCAATAAAATGATTTTTAAAGAAGATAAGCAACTGCTATTGATACCAAGGGATGGAAAAAGAGATGCTATACTAACATAAATTAAAAAGAAGCTATTATCATAACACTAGACCAAGCACATTTTAGAGAAAAGACAATTATCAAGCAAAAAGAAGGCTGTGCTACAATGAATTCCTTGACCTGGCTCTTCTAGCCATAGTCTTTGTAACTCCCACGAAATCATTTTTTTCCAGATAAGCCTGAGTAAGAGTGGAGATGTTGGCAGGATTATATGATTCATTCAGTTGTGGAATGACTGTTAACAGATTAATTATGTAAAAACTTGGAACTCTAATGTGGGATTGGTCGATCTTGGCATCATGCTGGGTGTGAACCATCTCAGTAACCACGGGGGCGGGGGAGTGGGGTGGGGTGCCAGCCCCACCTGCTACTAGAACTCACTGGTTCAGTAATACTACTTCTGGGGGAGTGGCGGGGAGAGATCTCATTGCTATCAAGAATGAGGAACCAGGAATGGACTCTGAGATCCCTGTTTATTGATCCTCCTTGGTTCCGGGACAGAAAGCTATAACACCAGAGAAGTGACAGTGGAATCAAGGGACAGAGCAGGCCTCCTGGCCCATGGAGCAAGTAAAATTGAGTGTTTGTGGGCAGGAGATTTGCATGTAGAGTCAGGTGAGTTTAGACACTTAATTGGGGTAGTTAGGTTTGCTGACCCATGGAGCTAGAACTGAGTTCTTTAGGGCTGAGACTTAGTAGGGCTCTTTGAGGGCATTTATAGGCAACCCAAAAAGAGCTCTGTAACCCTGCTAGAGCAGGACAGAGCCATGCCACTGAGAGGCCATGCTGCTGGGCACAACTGAAAAAGAGACTGTCCTGCTTAGGAGAACTGTATCCTGAGCATTTCTGATCCTGAATTATAATCTGCTCTTTTTCCTAATTGTGCGTATGGACGGTGAGTCTTGTGTAGCCATTGTAATGAATTATCACCCCCGGATGAGGCTACTGTCTCAGAAGACCTCAGGGGCAGTTCTACTCTATCCAGCAGGGTCACTCTGAGTTGGAATTGACTTGATGGCCCTGAGTTTGGGGTTTGTGTGCTTTTAATGGGGTGGGGGGTGGGGCAACACCTAGTGTCAGAATTAGCAAAAGAAGAAAGAGTGGAGGCATGTCTGACCTTGGCCTCAGGAATTATCCTTGGGCTGGCATTGAGTTTGACTCTCCTTCCCCCTGGTATGTAGTCAGAGGACGTGAGACACCTGCCCCCACACCATTCCCACAAGGGTCATCTCATAAAGATGACGGAATCCTTCATTAAGAGGATGTAGCAATTTAGAATTTCAGTGAACCTACTAGCACAGTTTCAAAATACCTGAAAGAAGAACTGACAGAAATTAAGGGAGAAAAACAAAGGCAAAAAAAAAAAAAATAGGACGATAATACTTCTGTGTTGACTAAATTTTGTTTAAAATGTACCATTACTGGATGAAAGCCCATTTCTGAAGATCTTCTAGCATTTTCCTAGGTAAATAATACATGTCATAACTGAGTCCCATGAATTTCCTTACCTTCTCATGAGCTGCCAAATTAAAGCCAATGTTAGGGTGCGCTTTCCTTCGTTGAGATCTTGCCCAGCAATGCCAACCAGGGAGAACTTGGCTTGATTCTTCCCCAGTTCGACTGCGTAGTTACAATTCTCCAACTGTTAACAAGCACGAAACCAGACAATGTCATACCATCATCGCTATGATGACAAAAGCCACGTAAAATAAGATAACAAAAATAAAGACACAACATGAGTTATGTATGGTCAGACAGCATGATTTCTCCTGGCTCTTTGATTCTAAGTTACATAGTTCCAGGATTTTCTATCTGCCTTAAATAAAATACCTCACTCTACCAAAAACATTCAGACCATTCTCTGTGTGCAAAACCAAAGTGGCTTCAACATTATAACCAATTTTATGGCTGCATCACACTGGGGCCTTGAATGTACCTCATATAAGTGTACCCTAGAGAGTTTTCAAGGCTATGAATTTTGGGAAGCAAATTGCTAGGTTCTTCTTCTAAGGCACTGTTGGATGACTTCAAACATGCCAACACTCGGATCCAGCATTTTACCATTTCTCTACCTCTGATTATAAACATTCTCATAGCTATACCACGCTACATACACAGAGACTCACCCTGTTACCTAGCTGTAGTTCTCCTTGGAAGTCTCAACTCACAGATCACAGTATGGAAAATGTACATTCCCCGTCCGATAGCTGACGCGTGGGGCAGGAATGATACATAAAGAGATCATGAAACATTGCAGAGACAAGTAATGCCAAGCAATGGCTGTGCCAGTTCTACATCTCCTCTGCTAACATGTCCCATGAGTGTCAAGAATGGAAAACTTTCCTCTAGTTCTTTACTGCTTCTTCCCCACCACTATCATGACCCACTTCTACCTTACAAATCTAGCTAGACCAGAGCATGTACATGGGTACAGATAAGAGCTGGAAACCCAGGGAATCCAGGACAGATAAACCCCTCAGGACCAATATTGAGAGTAGCCATACCAGGAGAGGGAGGGGAAGGTGGGGGAGGAAGAAAGGGGAAACCGATCACAATGATCTACATATGACCCCCTCCCAGGGGGATGAACAACAGAAAAGTGGGTGAAGGGAGACATCGGTCAGTGTAAGACATAACAAAATAATAATAATTTATAAATTACCATGGGTTTATGAGGGAGAGAGGGTTGGGGAGGGAAGGGGGAAAATGAGAAGCTAATACCAAGGGCTCAAGTAGAAAGAAAATGTTTTGAAAATGATGGTGGCAACAAATGTACAAATGTGCTTGACACAACCGATGGATGTATGACTTGTGATAAGAGTTGTACGAGCCCCCAATAAAATGATTTTTTTAAAAAAGAGTGGGCAACCTGCTTGCTCTGATTATCTTCTTAAAATGTAAAACAATGTCTATATAGACACTTTAGTGGCATTGCATGAATTACATTCTTTCCTTGTACATCCTCCTCCTACCCTTTTCAAAGCTGGTCCTTCCTCGGGAACATAAACTCACCACACCCGAAGGATCCCCTCTCATGCTTCAAGGGGCTGGTGCCTCTTTTATCCCATATGGGTAATTCTTTAAAGAGCAGAATACTCAGTGCAGATATGTTTTACTAGTTAAGATGACTCCAGGGGTTATTTTTGGTTTAAGGTTTAAAGACTTCTCAGGGCAATAGCTTCAGGGGCTCCCTCCAAGGCTTCACCAAATCTGGAGTTCATGAGCATTTGGAGCTCTGTTCCGAATTTCCCCGCTTCTGATCAGGATTCCCCTATGAGTCTTTGCTAAGAATGTTTAGTAATGGTAGCTGGACACCACTTAATTTTTCTGGTCTTATGACAAAGGAAGCAGTTATGAATAGAGGCAATTAACCAGACATTCACTATCTACCTCCTCTTCCTGAGTCTCCTTCTTCTGCTGTTCCACGAGACTAGAGACCAATTGCTGTACCTTGGATGGCCTCTTTTAAGACCCCAGACACTATACAGTGAACTAGGATGTAGGAGAGAAACATTGTGGCAGTTACGTAATCTCCTGTGAACTTGAGCGAAGGGGTGGAGTCTAGCCTGTCAATCAAGTCGCAGTGTGATGACCTCATTTGGAGGCTCAATGGAGATAAATAGCTCACTGGAGGCCAGGCCAAGTCTCTCTGCCTTCCCCTTCCTGCTGTTGAATCACTCAGAGAGCTGGAGGAGACATGCAGAGACCGGTGCCAGCACTGAGATACTTCCACCTCCACTGGATCCACAAGACCTTCTACCCACTGGCCTGTGATCTTCCTGCATTCAGCATCATTGCATGTGCTGCTTGAGTCTAAAGAGGAATTTGTGGACTAGTAGCAGACATATGGGGTAATATCAGACTTAGGGACTTAATCTGGATTGGGCTGGGATGTCTTCTCAATATACAATTGCTCTTTTATATAACGCTCTTTCTTATACACGAGTGTTTATGAATGTGTTTTTCTAGTCAACCCCAACTAACATCAAACAATAATGAGCACTAAAGCCACTATTAGCCCAATTAATTGAATGTCCCACGATACCATGACTCTACCCCTCTAAACCAAGGACATGAATCCCAGGAGCTATTTGGTTGTATGTAATCAGCCTCAGCAGATCCTATTGTGATTGTTTGCTTTGGGCCACAACGTTTGCCAATTAAACTTTTTACAATTGTACAAGTTAGAGACAGCAATTACAATGATCAGCTGTGCACCTAAATCAGTGTGATTTTTTTTGCTACTCTATCTTTTAAAAAAATCATTGGGGGGTGGCTCTTACAGATATTATAATAATCCATAAATCAATGATATCAAGCGAACCTGTACATATGTTTTAATTATCTTAATTGTAAGTTTTACTTTATAATGTTTTCAGACATTCAACACAGAACGATAACAGATATCAACTGAAACTATGGTCTTACCCTAATGAAACTACCCAGGTTTCTAAATGCTGTGCTCTAACGTGACATCTGAATAAACGTTCTTTCTCTAAGTTGGGTCTCCTGCTAAAGAATTCACCATAATGGCCTTGCAGGCTTATGGCTTCACCAGCCTCTTAGAAGACCAGGTGTTGTTTACCTTTTTCATATTGCCCCCCAGCTTGGGGTACGGTGGTTTGTTCACTTTGTTCCAGTCAACAGGGACTTTGATCTTTTCATAGAGCTGGAAGATGACCAGGGCATCTGATAAGTCACTGAACAAGAACAAACACAAACAATGCTCAGAAATCCACCTTTTATGATCGGTTTGCTTGCAGTGGGCCAGGTACGTCTGTATGCATTAACTCAAGACACATTCACAACACTGCAAAACGGTCATCAGTAATTACATCTTTAGAAAGGAAGAAACTGTGATTCAGGGTTGGGAAACTGAGGCACATGCCAAGGTCTCCCAAGGTGTGACTGCCTCTGCCCCTTCACCAAGACATGCTCCCTCCAGGAAAAGGAATATGGTACCAATAAGTAGCACAACATAAACAAAACAGCTGCTTTTAAGTGAATTAAGATTCCTTGTGACCCGCTAAGTTAGAGTAAAATTGTGCCCCATAAGTTTTCAAAGGCTTATTTTTCAGAAATAGATCACCAGGCGTTTCTTCTGAGGCACCTTTGGGTACACTTGAACAGCCCAACTGGTTAGCGGCCAAGTGTCTAACCTGCTCGCGCCCCCCCCCCCATTCTGTGATATCTATTAGTATAGCATCCTGTGTGGGGAAATTGTTCAAACTCTTCGAAATCGTCTTCACAAGTTCCCATGCTTTCTGGATAAAATAGGATTTTAAGGCATCAAACAATTAGAGACCACGGAAGCTCGAGGCTTAAGATCCAGAGAGACAGACTTGATAGTTGAGTTGAAAGAGGAGCAAGAATACCCGTGAAGCCCAGGGATAAGAAGATACTTAACAGCTGCAAATTTGGCTTTACTGTTCGGATGGCTTAGCTTTTTACATATAGTCAGCTTGTCATTTTATTAAAACATGACTTTATGTTCCACCCACGGTGAGGGTAGTGTATGGAAGTGAGTGTCTCAGGTGAACAGCCAACACCCGTTTTCCCTTCTCCACAAGGTACACCCATTTTTGTGATGAGGATTCCGTATCACAATGGTATTTGGAGTCCTTTGGTCTTGGTGTTTCACATAAAGGACGGCACTCCAGGTATTCTTACCTGTACAAATGGTTGACTCGAGGGTTCACTCCCAAGGAGTTCATCCAGTTCCTGAATGTCCGCTCCTCCCGCGTCTCACCTAAATGAATAAAGACCATGTATCTTTCAGGTCCCTAAACAGGATGCCAATCTCCAGGGGCAAAGTTTAACTACATCCAAAGAAGGTACTGTCGAGTTTGTTCTGACAGTAATCCTATGTGTGACATAAAATTTCCCATCAGTGATTTTTCAAAAGTAGACCACACAAAAGTATATAAAACATATCATCCACAATGATTGGATGGGATTCATTCCAGGGATGCAGAGATGGTTTAACATCTAAAAATCTATCAATATCATACACTACATTGATAAGAAAAAGGAAAAGAACCACATGATAATATCGATGCACACAGGAAAAGTATTTGACAACATCCAACACCATCTCCTAATTAAGACACTCAAGAAATGGAAGGAAAATTCCTCAAGGATATACAAGCTATCTAGGAAAAGCCAACAGCCAACATCACAGTCAATTGAGAAAAAGATGGAAAAAATCCCACTGACAAGAGGGACCAGACAAGGATGCCCCTTGTCCCCTCTTCTATTCAACATTGTACTGGAGGTCCTGGCTAACAACATAAGACAGCAGAAGGACATTAAAGGTTTCCAACTGGGAGAGGAGGAGGTGAAACTATCACTATTTGGAGATGACACTATTCTATACATTGAAAATCGAAGTGGGGTAGAAAAAGGGAACCGATTACAGGGATCTACATATAACCTCCTCCCTGGGGGACGGACAACAGATAAATGGGTGAAGCGAGACGTTGGATAGTGTAAGACATGACAAAATAATCATTTATAAATTATCAAGGGCTCATGAGGGAGAGGGGAGTGGGGAGGGAAGGGGAAATATGAGGAGCTGATGCCAGGGGCTTAAGTGGAGAGCAAATGTTTTGAGAATGATGAGGGCAATGGATGTACAAATGTGCTTTACACAATTGATGTATGTATGGATTGTGATAAGAGTTGTATGAGCCCCCAATAAAATGATTTTTAAAAAAGAAAAGAAAATCGCAAAAGCCCCACAACAGTACTGACAGTGAAAGAGGAATATGGAAGAGTGGCAGGATACAAGATCAGCAAATAGAAGTCTATCGGTTTACTATATACATCGGACAAGACCATGGGAGAGGAGATCAAGAAGTCAGTGCCCTTCACAATAGTCGAGAACAAATTGAAATATCTAGGGATATATTGAACCAAAAACCCAAAAGATTTATACAAGGAAAACTACAGGACCCTACTACAGGAAACCAAAAGTGACCTCAACATATGGAAGAATATTATGCTCCCGGATTGGAAGACTAAATATAGTAAAGATATCAATCTTACCCAAGCCACTATATAACTTTAATGCTATCCTGATTCAAATAATAACAACCTTCTTCAAAGAATTGGAAAAGCTGACCACCAATTTCATATGGAGAGGGAAGAAGCCCAGAATAGCAGAGAACTCCTCAAGAAGAAGGACACAGTCAGAAGGCTCACTTTACCTGACTTTCACACCTACGACACAGCCACAGTGGAACTGGAATAATGACAGATACGCAGACCAACGGGACAGAACAGAAAGCCCAGAAAGAAAACCATCAGCATACTGATTTTCAACAGGGCGCCAAAAGCATCAAGTGGGAGGCGGCTGCCCTTTTTAACAACTGGCCATGGAAACAGTGGATATCCACCTGTAGAAAAATGAAACAAGATGCTTACTTCACCCCATGCACAAGAACAAACTCAAGGTGGATCACAGACCTAGAAGTAAATCCCAAGCTATCAGGACCATCAACAAAGGAATCCGGACAAACCTAAGAGCCTTGGCTCAGGGAGTATATACATAGGCTAACTGCAATAGGGAAGGGTATACAGCTGAACCTGAAATCGACAAGTGGGATGTCCTAAGGATAAAAAGACTTTACCAAAAGAATAACAAGAGAACCCATGGACTGGGAGAGGATTTTTAGCAGTGACACAACAACAAAGGGCTTATTACTAAAATCTATAATAATCTGTTAGCCTGCAAAAAGAGGAAAGCAGTTAACCCCCTGAGGAAGTGGGCAAAAGACCTGTTTCACGAGGGAGGCAACCCAAATGGCCAATAAACATATGAGAAAATGCTCCTGATCCACAGCCATCAGAGAAATGAAAATTAAAACAACCATGAGATACCATCTAACACCCTTGAGGACATCCCAAATCAGAAAATCAGAGAGCAACAAATGTTGGAGGGGATGTGGCGAGATAGGAACTCTCCTCCACTGCTGGTGGTTGTGTAGATGTGTACAGCTTCTGTGGAAAGTGATCTGGTGATATTTAAACCAAATGGAAATTGAGTTACCCTATGACCCAGCTATCCCTCTACTGGGCATATACCCAGAAGAGGTAAGAAATAAACCACGACCAGTAGTCTGTGCTCCAGTGTTTATTGCAGAGCAATTCACAATCGCAAAAAATTGGAAACAACCTAAATTTTCATCGGTAGATGAGTGGATCAGTAAACTCTGGCACATACACACAATGGAGTGACTATGCATCATTAAAAAGCACTGATGATCACATGCAGCACATCATCTCATGGGAAGACTTGGAGGAAATTATGCTAAGCGAAGTTAGCCAATCACAAAAGGACAAGTACAACATGAGCCCCCTGAGGCAAGTATAATCAGCACAGTAGGTATAGAAGAAAAGCCACTGATCTCACATTACATGGGTTGAGGTACAGGCAGTCAGGTGGAAGTCCGACCAAACCCAAGGAGGTACATGCTGTTCCAACACAAAGAGAGGGGAAGAGGGGGGGAGAAAAGGGTGGGGGTTAGGGGCACTAACCCACCTGGGAGGAGAGTATGTAAAAAAAAGTTAGACCATATGGTATTTATTTGGGGTCCCTTGGGGTGAACTGAAGCCACAACCTTTCAGTTACTAGCTAAATGCTTAACTTACCAGGACTGCTCAAGTTCAACTGAAAATCAAAACACTCACCCACCCACTACCAACTCACCCAATTCCAACTCACAGTGACCCTACACAGGGTTTCCAAGGCTGTATGAGAACAGACGCCTCATCTTTCTTTCTCTGGGTTTCTGGTGGGTTTGAACCACCAACATTTGGGCTATCGGCCCAATGTTTAAAAATTCAACTGAAGCGGTCATCAAAAAGTGAGAATAGAATTTTTTTTAAGTTAGACAAAATGAAGCCTGGTGGCACAATGGCTAAGCAGTTGGCTAATGCAAAGTTTGGCAGTTGGAACCTGTTGCTCACCCACTGGGAGAAAAGATCAGCTGATCTGCTGAAATTTCCCCAAAACAACGTGCTGCCATTGAGTCAATGCTGACTCCACGTGGTTTTCCAAGACTGTAACCAGGTACAGGAAGAGAAAGGCCAGTCTTTCTCCCAAAGAGCTGATGGTGGTTTTGAACTGCCAACCATGTGGATCACAGCCCAGCATGTAAGCACTATGGCACCAGGACTCCTTTGCTTAAGTTTATGGTATTGGGAATCCTATGAGACAGTTCTACTTTGTCCTATGGGGTTACTCTCGGTCGGAGTTGACCTAACAGCCCAGAACAATAACAAAATAATGAACCTCGATGAGAGCTGCTAGTCTATGCACACCTCTTCTTTTTCCAGGTCAACAAGTGTTTCTATGATGATTATGAGTATTATATAATAGGCTCCTGTGTGGGGAAATTGTCCAAAATTGTCTTCACAAGCTTATATGCTTTCTGGTTAAAAAGGATTCAAGGCACCAAACTATTAGAGATCATGCCAACTAGAGGCCCCTGATTCAAATAGATCCATTTGATCCTTGAGTTGAAGCAGGAGAAAGAATAGCTGTGAAACCAGTTCCCATGTGGTCAACCGGACTCCTGGGGACCCCTAGGTGCCAGAGTGTAATTGTGCTCCATGGGATTTTCAGGGCTGATTGTTCATGGAGAAGTTGATCTCCAGGCATTTCTTCCATCACACCTCTGGTGGACCTCAACCTCCAACCTTGCAGCCATTGTGGGGAGTCGTAGAGTCAATTCTGATTCCTAGCAATCCCATGTGACAGAGTTGAACCGCCCCATGAGGTTTCCTAGGCTTTAATACTTAGGGGAGCAAATTACCAGATCTTCCTTCCACAGAGCAGCTAGGTGGGTTCTAACCTCTTGCCGATCATTTAGCAGCTGAGTGCTTAACGGTTGTGTCCCCAGGGGGAAGGGCAGTGTGGGTTCAATTGGGAACGAGTAGGATTTGCTCTTTACCTTAAAGAGCTAGTGAAATCTGGACCATAAAGAGGAACCATCCAGTCATGGTGGAGTGGTGGGCTCCATATTGAGCTGCCAACCACAAGGTCAGTGGTTCAAACCCATCACCCGCGTTGAGGGAGAAAGTTGAGGCTATCTACTTCCAAAAGATTTACAGCTTCAGAAATCTCAAGGAAAGTATTATTATATTTTATAAAGTTGTTACGAGTCAGAATCAACTTGGTGACAGTGAGAAAGAGGAATGAAGAGATAATTTAGGGGTATGGCAAGGGGTGGAGGTAGGACACTGTGTAAATGTGACCACAAAGGGAACAGTAGGACCGGTCTTTCTTAAGGAAGTCGGGAATTGATGTGCCAGGGCCCTCTGCTGTCCAGTACACAGAGACAAGGCTGTCCAGAGCCTGAACCCAGCACGCAGGCTCTGTGAATGCCAGGAAGCAGATTTTGTTCTTCATATATTAGACAATGTCATTCAGTGTAGGTTCTTGCAAGTATTTTAGTACAGTTGTGAGTTGGGCAGAGGTATGACCAAAGCCACTGTGACATGCCTAAAGCCATCTGCAGAATGCTTAGAAGGCGGCCTGAATAGAAATTAAACAAGCAGAGGGGAATGCCTTTGGCACTGGTGCTGTGGCCCATTCACATGGCTGATGAGTGAGGAGCAGCCCCTGAGACCCAATGGGAATAATTGGTGTGTGAGGTCAGGAGAGTCCAGAAGAGAAGAAAGGAGAAAACAACACTGTCAAAGACACGGTGAAGAAGAATGCCCATTATCTGCTGATTTACGAGGTAGGAGGGTGGAGTGGAAATCACATGGAACCCATGATCTACATAACTAAAGGAAAAATGGTCAGGTTGATGGGAAAGGAGAATTTCTGGCGAGCTGCAGAGATAGGGGTGGATGAAGGATGAAGGGGAAGGCAATAAAAACGAGTTGATTACAACTCATTACGGCACCATATGTATCAGAGTAGAGCTCCACAGGGGTTCAAATGGCTGATTTTCCATTTGGTTGCCAGGCATTTCTTCTGAGGCATCATCATACATGTGTGATGAGACTCTTCCTTTAGAACTCTTACATGTTACCCTACCCATTGCCATTGGGTCAGTTCTGATGCGTAGGGACTCTAGAGAGGATTTCTGAGGATATATATATATCCTCAGATATATAAATAAATAAATATATATATATAAATATATATATATATATATATATTATTTTTTTTTGCAAAAATGGACGGGCCTATTCTCCTTCCTTGGATTGGCTGATGGGTTTGAACTGCTAACCTTGCAATTAGCGGCCCAATTCTCCTTCTCACATCTAAGCTTAATTCTTTTTATTTTTTTAAACATCTCATGGTGATTTGGAAGAAAGATGAGGCTTTCTGCCTCCATAGAAAAGCCGGAGGGGCAGTTCCGCCCTGTCCTCTAGTTCCACCGAGTCAGATTAATTCAATGGTAGTGAGGAGGACTACGGTCAAGGGAGCCCCACCAGTCTCTCCCAGACCAGTAAGTCTCATCTTTTTCATGATTTTGAATTTTGGTCTAGATTTGTCTCTGCACACACAGGACCTTTTGGGGCCATCCCGATCAGGGTGGTCACTTGTGGGAGCTGGGCGCCATCTGGAGGCAGCTCTGGGTGGACTTCAGCACAGAGAGTGGATTAGCCATGTGTGCCATGACGTGAGTCGGCAACCACTCAGTGGCAGTCAGTGAGGGAGACCACCGTGTAAAAGAGCAGTTGCTAAGCTGTCATTTTTATAGAAGCAGAACGCCAGGTTTCACTCCCTCCGAGCCATTGGGTGGGTTTAAACTGCCAACCTTCTGGTTAACATCCTAGAGCTCATTCCCGGTTGTACCACTAATTCTGTTTTGCATACGTTGAATTTCAAATGACAGTAAAGATTCCAAGTGGGGTAGCTGGGAGTGGGTGATTGAAGGGCTGGAGAGGTCCCTGTGTGATTCACCAAAAACACAGATCCCTGGCTTGGATTTCTCCAAGGATACAAGGCTACCCCTGTTGGAACGTGGATTGGTACTCCATAATCAGCTGGACTAAAGCATTACTGGACAAGGACAAACCAGGACTTTAGATCTGTTTGTACAGAATTTGTGTATTATTTTCCTATCTCAACATTGGGACTAGCTTTAATGGAGGGAAGAAAGAAAAGAAGAAAAGTAAACATTTCTGGCACATGTACCTGTTAGAAACGCCTAAACTGTAAGCTTTCTTGGGACCTTCCCAAAAAACCCTCTTGTAAGGAATGCTGCCTTGAAATACCATCCTGTCCCCCCCAAATCTAAACACAGCAAACCAAAGGAAACCAAAAACACCCCAGGAAACATTTGCTAGTGTAAGTCAAACAATCATTTTCAGATAATAAGTAGCTGCAATTGCTTGCCTCCAGGAATCAACACTCAATCTATTAAGTACATAAATTAGGTTATGGAGACTAAAGATTTGCTTCACCCAATCATTAAATACATTGTCTCCCTTAAAACATTTAATCCTGATAATGGATGATGCCTATGTATAATGGATGCCATATAATGGCATTTAATTATTCCTGCTCGGCTGTCATGGGCTTGATTAATCTGTGTGTTCACCTTGTAGTATACCAGAGAATTTACGACTGGCTTCCAAACCTTGCCCGATATGGGAGGGCTTTGCATTTGCTTTGCAGTGATTTTGAACTGCCGTTAAATTAGAATTGGGAGGCCTTGTTCTACCATCTTCAACGACCAGTTACCTTCGAGAGCCCCCCAGTCGATGTCTTGGTTCTCCGGCTTGTGCAGGGCAGGGTATCTGTTGAAGAGGTTGGCGATGAAGGCCAAGTTCAGCTTGGGGTTTCCTCGGACCACATCGATGGCTGTGACAAATTGGCGACAGCCCAGCTTCTCTGCTTGGAGCAGCATGCACTCTGCTCTCTGGATGTCGTCCTTCTCCTGCAGCGGGTCAAGGTCAACAAGTATGCCGTGAAAAGACAGCAGGCATCTTACTAGGCCTCATCGAGTTTCTCTAAGGCGGCAGTTCTCAACCTGTGGGTCGCGACCCCTTGTGTGTGTGTGTGTGTGTGGGGGGGGGGGTCTAACGACCCTTTCACAGGGATCGCCTGATTCATAACAGTAGCAAAATTACAGTGATGAAGTAGCAACGAAAATGGTTTTATGGTTGGGGGGTCACCACCACATGAGGAACTGTATGAAAGGGTCGTGGCATGAGGAAGGTTGAGAACCACTGCTCTACGGGGAGCCCCTAATATTGTCGGCTGCCGTAGAGCTGGAGTAGACTCATGACAATACTGTTCACAACGGGCCAAAACCCTGCCTGGGCCTGGGTCTGGGCCTGGGCCAGCCCCCGCATCAGGTGTGGGTCAGGCAATGTTTCACTGGCTAGTTTCCAGAAGTGCATGTCCTGACTTTCTTCCACATGCGTGACAGGATGGATGGAAGCGCGGCAGAAATCCGTTCCCCATCCTCGCAACCTTTAACCCTCCACTGACAGACGTGTGGGTGCACGGTGGTGTCCTCTTAGCTGTAAATCTTTGATTTACTTCACTCTTGCTCTGGGGCCAGGAGCTAATCATTAGCTCCTCTGGTCTTTCCTTTAATCAACTCTAAAACAGAGTGAATAATACCTCCTTAGTTCTCGGGTGCAAGCCCCAATCCCAACGACTACGTGGATACCTGCCCCTCTCCCCAGAAGAATTTAATTCAAAGGATGACATTGAATCTGCAGCTCCAGGAGAGGGACTTATCTGATCGGAGCACACAGGAGCAGATGAAGGGGGAAGAGGAGAGAGTGGAGCACATCCTGGCCCACCAGGCCTTGAGGACAATGTTCCCAATTAGAACAGCCAGTCCACAGAGAGGACCACATGGCCGGCCCCACTATGAGACATGACGTCCCTCACTGACCCATAGCCTTACAGGGGGCAACACTGGAGACACAGTGTGGGAATTGCACC